GGCGTTGCACTGATGAAAGGGCACGGTCTCAATTTCGAACAGTCTCTGAGTAAGTATAAAAGCTCTTATTGGACAGTCGGTGTGTTCAACCTTAACTTATCAATATCCAGTGGCCGTGATGGAAGAGCGTGGCAATCTCGGTGAGAAAGCACATTGACAGAAGGTAGATGAAAAGGAGTGAGAACAGGATTAGTGATTTGTTGACCCTTGTTGTAGAAGTCTGTTTATTGAATGCTGCCCCTCTACCGCCAGCTTGAGCTGCCGAAGACATGATAAGTGGTCGCAAGACTAAAGTAGATGACCCGCACAAGAAGAACGTTTACTGAGGCAACTACTCAGAACCATCGTATAGCGTGTGGACCACTTAATGCACCATTTGTCGCTCACGTTATAAAAACCAGCCACAAAATTTGTTAAATATTTTAGAGTCTTTGGGCACGCCCGCTTCAAATTCTCCTTGATGCACAGTCTGCACGTGCGGTTTATCAAATCCTTAAACTGTTCCTCACCACCTTTCTACAATGTAATACGTGCCTTTGAATTTCCGTATCCATGAGCCAATCCGTCTTTAGTTAGCTATTGATCTCAGCATGGAAGGTCTTATTAAAACACTTTCCGTCGCTATCATACTCACCGACGCTGCTCAAGCACCTTGGTTTTCGCATGTCTCGGTGAATAATCGTTTGGTCTTACTGTTTGGTAAAAATGACTTTTCGGTTTGCGGTTTTTCACATTTTAGATGCATAGTTATGTTAGTTGGCTTGGTACATTAGCCCCACACGTATTCTTTTTGGGTAAAGCAGTACATTTTGTTTACTGATTCTCGACGAATGCCCTTAGCAACCAGATTTGGAGATTCGGAATTTCCTTCACCGTTATTTTAGCTTGTCCGTCAAGTGTAATTTGTTATTTTGATGTGGTACCTTTACAACGGCTCGTAACGACCCTATAGTAATTAGGACCGTTTTCAAAACATTTTACTTGTTGCCTCAAGCCGTCCCCACTTATTCTGGCATTTGTTCTCTCTTATAATAGCTAACTTATAAAAGTTAGACGCTAGAACGTCGTCTCCTGGTATTGTAACCAGTATTAAAATGTCTTCCTTAGGCCCCATCCCCTCCCTACATGGTCATTCTCAATGTCCATTTTAATATACAGTTATATGCGTCTTATTTTGTTTACTATCAGTTAATAACCATAGAAGTTCAGTGATCTTTTTTATGAAAATGGAACTGTCTTCGGCTTTAACTTCGCCGTCAAATTATTTCCCATCACTCCTCAAGGTCTGGGTTTGTAGTGGCTTGTGCGCTACCTGTGGACTCATTTTAGTATAATCAGAGCCTCCGAACTAGTAGCATTGTCCCTTGTCCAAGACTCATTAAGTGTCTTTGCTTATTAGTATTTTTTTCATGTGACCATTTTTCTCCGATTTGCGTGATGGAAATAGCCAGAGTCCCTTCCAACTTAATTCGATGTCCAGTTGTCTGTTGCCTACTAATGTAGCTCTTCCATCTGTGTGAACTTTTCTATGCTTGAATGTACCACCATTTCACTGTAAACGTCTTTCAGAAAGTAGTTGTTTTATGCGCATCTTGATCCTGCCAACCAGACTGCTAGAGCTCCCTAGAACATCCCTATTTGCGCGTTTTTAGGCTGTTATAGCTTGCAGTTGTTACTTTTTCCATGGTTGCTGAGTGCGATTTGCAGCTCACCAAGCGTTGCTTTAAATATAATGCATGCAACGAGCTTCGACCCCATCATTTCCCTAATTGCCTGCATTTGAAGTTATTTTTGGTTTACTAAGATAGCCTTTCGCGTACAATTTTTGAGTATTCCTCATACAATCAGGTAAGCAGACAGTTCCGATTGTTGGCTGAGTAAGCTCCCGAAGCAGGCTAGTATTTGTCTTGTAGGAATCATTGACAACCGACAAAGCACCGAGCCCATGATGCAATGATAGAGTGGTAGACTCAGTGGCTGAAGGTCCCGGGTTCGAATCTCGGGGCTTCCAGCCCTTGAGATTGGGTATGACTGGCTGATGATAGCTAACAAGTCCGAAATGGCCATTCTGGTTTTCCTTTGCTTTGTCGGATCCATTCCACTATTGACAGTGTCTGAAAGTCATCTGGTAATAGCCTGAGTGATGTGTTGTGCGTGTCTCGGAAGAGTGGCCAACTGATTAGTCGCCACCACCACCATCTGAGGGTTAGTGCGTCGAAGTCTAACTCTCCCTGTACCCGACTAAATATAACTTAATTTAGGAAAGTATGGAGTTGTAATCAATCTTGTTCATAAGTAGCTCATCTAAATTCATTAAATTGAACCCGCTGATTGCAGCATCCAGTTGTATTCAGTATTTGTTCCTCTGTTCTACCCAGTTAACTGAAGTATCTCGACGCTTCTTTCGTTAATGTTAATTATTTTCGACACCTCAACCGCTAATTTCGGGCATTCCAACTCGAAGAGCATGAATGCGACTGACCGTCCTCCGATATCGCAGTGACTTTAATACTTTAAAATAACTAGTTTTCAAAACTGTCATGTACTTTTACAGGACTTTCATCGTATGTCTGGCATGGAGGATCTTTCATGGCTCACAGCCCCGCGGGACACATACGACAGGCAATTTCGTAAGCTGCGATTGCTTTTTTCTTCATATAAACGATGCCCAGATCCTTCCGCCAGCCCTTCACTTCCCCTTGATGCTTATGAAAACTTCATCAAAGCGAAGATAAGTGAATCAACGGGCTCAATCGTAAGTATTATTTCTGCTTTGGTTGGTTTTTATAACCCTTTAGATTCCACTGGTCACAGATGACACTCTGCCGTACATTCCAGATGGTCATTTGGTCTGTGTACATGGTATGATTCAGGACATGTTTGACTCGGAGCTTTATATTTCCTCCTATCGACCTTCAACTGAGGCGAATTCTGTCAAATCCACTCGCTATCGAGATGTGGAATATTTGCAGGTTGGTATCCTCGGCTTAACATGTTTTGTGTATGGACAGTTTACCCGAACTTTCGGTAGTTACCGAAAGGCAACTTTAGTGGACCTTCAGTAATAGAAAAGGTCGTACCAAACTTTCATTTTTCTGTTGTTGTTCGTCTTCATTTTCAGTCCGCATGGAAGCCTCGGGCTTCCTAATGCTCTCCTATAATTAAGCCCAAACCTTTTCTTCGTAAAATCCGACGATCAAGCTTATGCCTTTTGATTACCGTGAACCATAGTTAATGATTACGTTGACTTGTTTTATCCTACATGCGACTCGTCTGACTCTGACGGTACAGTGCCTCGCCCACTTCCTTGGCCAAACTCATTGTCCTAGTCACGAAGTAGGAGGCTGCTGTTTCGGATTCTCCCTCGAATCTGTCGTCAAAAATAAAGTCAGGCTAATAAAGATCTTATTCTCCTGAGAATATTAATTTCTGTTCGCGGTATATATCAGTATATTTAAGGTCTGTAGGCTTAGACCGAAATTTTAAGTGTATATTTGGGTTAAAATCCGTCAACCACTGCGAAATATCCAATTGCTGCCAACAGAAAGACTTAATAGTATAAATTGATGTTGTAACTTTGCTATATTAACAGCCTAGGTACTAGCTAAAAGGCCCAGATAAGTGTTTCACCGGTATTCTGCCGCTGTTTGACATAGCTGCGAGGGTTCCGGCTCATCAGTGGGTCCCTCAGCTTTCCCTGTCTGCTTTCTGGTTGATATACTGGCCTTGAAAGTTCAGCTTTTTACTCTCCTGACAAAGATATTATTCCAACGAACGGGTCCCTTTATTCGTGACTGCTTCCTGGAACTCACCCCTTTGTTATATTCACATTTGACGTCCACTTCGTCGGGTGGAACTAGTGGACATCTTTGTTTGCCCCCCTCGAATTGTCGTGTATATGCTAACCCCATAATAATAATAATCGTTGTCATCACCATAATCAAATTACAGTCTAGAGCGCTGAACCAAACCTTTTGTGGCATCCGCTATCCACGAGGACGCCAT